TCTATTTTATTCATTTGTATTTCTTCTGTTTCTTTCACTTTTTTTATTTCCTAAATTCATTCGATGTAATATATTTAACACCAATAGTTGTTCTTCATTCTGGTGTTTTAATCGTATCAAAATAAATTGTGTTATTGTTGAAACGACATGTTGTTAAAATATTGTTTTTATTTCAACACTTTGAATAAATTACTTCAATTAATAATGGAAATTAAGTTATAAGATAAAATATTCATCTATAGTCCAAACGACTTAATGATGTTTCCTTTATAGTCTATAAATCATTTATATCTCCACTATGTTTTATTCATAATGAAATGTTTTTGTTTAATATTCAAATATGACGTGAAATATACCATCTGGTCATTTTCAGGAGAGTCATGGTTAATTGAACAATAATTACCAACACCAATATCTACCATTCAAATTAAAAATATATAAATTTTAATACTTCTATTGTCTTGGGATAAGTTGCAGAAGTAATAAATTTCAATGGTAATTTCACACTCCATTTACCTGTATATATGTTATGAGAAATATTTTGTCTTGTGATTATCGAATATCTTTTACTGCACATCATGATGATGTTTCGAGGTGAGCCAAATGTTCATCTAAATTAAAACCTCTTAGTTAAGTTATTATAACAACACAAATAGTAGAAAATACTATACAACCACTGTTTGTCGATATATAACTAAATTAAAAATAAAAATACATGAAAAGAAAAAAATCAATTAACTTAATTCATGACTTCAATAAAATAATCGAAGTATATTTTGTTGATGCAATATAAATTTTCTCTATTCATGTAGAACTGGATTTCAGAATTTCTTCCCCTAACTGTGATACGTTTATATTGCACTTCTATATCTGAACAATATAAGAAGAACGTAAAATTAAATTGATGTTCATCCATTTTAATTTTAGAAATGACATCAGTATAAATCGTTTCCACTAATGTGTTTACTGCCTGATTAGCCGTATCCAGCATCTTCACTTCACAATACCCTTTATGAGCTAATGGTATTGAATATTCTTTGCAGAAATTAATAATTTCATTATTAAGATCTTCTTTTTCCATTTCGCTTATACCCTCTGTTCCACTACAAAAGATATCATGTGCTTCAATGGGATGACGCTCCCATAATACTATATCAGCAGAAGTGAAATCAGAACTTTTTGCTTGTTGCTTATACCAATATATTATATATTTATGAAAGGTATATTTTGAAATTATCCCCTCTTGGGCTTCTTTCAAACGAGACCTTCCATTAATATCAATATCTATATACTCTTTCATCTGATATACTCTAAATTCATTACTTAGCAAAGAAACAAGTTTTTCCATTATAGTTGATTTCCCAACTCCAACAGAACCTGAAATGAATATGTGATGTACCATGAAGTTTGAATTGTTTTTGGTGTAGTTTTAGTTCGCTTAAATTTCGTGTCATGACGTGTCATATTTATTTTTTCTAACTTTGTCACTCAATACTCTGGTACAGTCCTATTTGATATAGTTAATTTTATTAAAAAAATATTATACTTATATTTTGAGTTCGACGCCTTTTGAAGTTAAATTTCATACTAACGTCAATGTAACGTCAATGGCACGGCAACTTGGTTTTATTATAACTTTTGTACCATTTTTTGTTATTTTATATTTTCCTATCAATTTAAAATAATATACTTTTAACTTTTTTCTTTTACCAATAAAATAAAGATTTTTAACTTAAATACTCTAAATTTAATTATCTTTTAATAAAGGAATTATGAAATAGTTATATAGACAATTATATTAGATATAATTATTATCCAATTAAATGGCAATAATGAAAATGGTAATGAGTCTAGAATGAAATAAATGATATTAAATTTAATATGATAGCGTGTTCAAAATAAACAAGAAGAAATGCATGAATAAAGCACATAATACTCATGACTATTAATTTCAACGAAGAACGTTCAGTTAAATAATACAGTCAAAATAACAAATAATGTATGGAAATTTTTTAATTAAAAGGATTTAATAATATAATGTATATTCAAATAATTTAACCAAGAAAAGATGGTCAAATATCTTCACCAAAAAGATGTGTAAAGATGTGATAACATATAACGAATTACCAATAGATTTTCCAACTAATTAATGAGATTATTATTAAAGAAAAAATAATTCAATAATTGAGGGTGTTGAAATAATTCAAACAATAAATAGAAGTGTTAGTTTATTTAATGAATTAATAATGAGACTATATGGATTTGATACGTGTGTTAAGTGTTTCAAATAACATTATGATGAACTAATTCTATTTGTTCAAATTCTTTATCATCTTATATATTCATTATTATGATAAAATTATTTATAACAATTACATCATAAAGAATTAATAAAACAATTAAACAAAATATATGTACTGATTTATTGTACAAAATGTAACGTGAGTCATTTAAATAATTCAAATTAAAAATAAGTTAATGTTCAAATAGTATGTATCAAATCAATAGTTCATTATTGATAGTTGGGTTGGTTGTGAAAGAACGGATAACTCCTTGGAAATTTTTTTTCACATAATATAAATTGCTTAATAATACTACTAATGAATAAAAAAACTAATTAATTCTAGTTTTTTTTACATTTAGTTTTGAGTTAATAAAAAAAACTTTTTAAATTTATTAAAAAATCTATTTAAAACCTTAATGAAAATTTTCGTTTGAACTTCTCATCATCCCCGTCATCATATTATTCATTATTTCTTTCTTTTCTTTTGTTGAAAATACCAGTTTCACATAATTTATGAGTTGTTTGTATTTTCAATATCATTCATAACATGTGTTTTTTCTTTATCTCTCTTGTTATTGTCAATTGTTAGTCTATTTTCTCAAGTTCAATCATATCCTTTGTTGAAATAACAAACCACCTATTCAATTCATCAGAAAATACCTCAAATTTATTTACATAGAATGTTGTGAAATGGTGCTGACATAGTCTAGTGTATAAAACTCAGTCATTAAAATGAATCAACAATACTAATGTATTGAATAACAATTTCTTATAAATTATATCTACACATTCTAACCTTCTCAATATCAAACTTATTGTATTCAAATATACTAAAATCATCATTTATTTGATGGTTGATGATTATTTTTTAACTGTTTGTTTATCAAAAAAACATCTATTCCTCATTCTTCTGGTTTTGTCTTTGCTCATTTTCCAGGATATTCATCACTACCAATATGAAAAGACATTCTCTTCTTGTTTCATTGACTATGTAATACTGCACTCAACAACTCAATATTTTGACGAGTATTTCTTTTGTTGATATAACATTAAAAAACAAGAGTTAAATAACAAAAACATCACTGCAAATAAAACATGCTCAATGATAAATACTAGAAATAAAGAGGAAAATACCTTTTATAATGAGTGACAAAGATGACAAAAGTTGGTTAAAAGTGATTCATAATATCTTCATTCTAACTTGAGTTGAAAAGAAAAATTAAATTTTATGATAATAAGCACCTAAATTTTAGAAAAATTTCTGTTAGGAAAGAGAGCAGGAGCTAATAATGTCCAAATGTATAATAGATGACATAAAACACAAATACCTATCTTAAAAAAGAAGGCGTAATAACCAGTCTCAACACGAGCAGGATTTGTTTTAAATACAGACCAGTCAGTCATATTTTGAAGCATAAATAATGATGCAATACAAAAAGTAGCATGGAACTTCCAAAAACAATATCTTCTATGAATTTCACCTGTCAAATTATCAATTTTATCAGGGAGTTTATCATCAATAAATGACATTTCTGATATTTCAGTTGAATTTCGATAAGTTTGATAAGCAATAACTGCGATAGTAAAGAAAATGCCAAGGAAAGACGTGACGTCATAATTTGAAATAAGAGCAGTACTTTCTTGACAATCAGTTACTGTCCAACAACCATTCTTTTCAGAACAAGGCAGTGACAGAATAGCATCAAGTAGAAGATATGCAGTATACGCAGAAACTATACCAGACTGAAAAATACCTGAATTTGGTTTATATTCTCTCACAATCGGTAACAATGAAACAACAGTTCCTATCACTGACAATAACAAATTGAAGGATGTAAAGATAATGTTCCAAAATTTAGATGCACAAGTTCCAGCAGAAGTTGCTGAATGAGAAAATTGTATTAAAATGAATAAAGAAATACCAAGAGAGAAAGAAAAAGAAAGGAATGATATGAATATAAGGAGAAATACATAAGGATCAAATCTACGATCAGGATTAACTTTATTTACTAATTTATTATTTAGTACAGCAGCAAAGTTAAGGAAAGAAATTAAACTATAAAGAATAAACAAGCTAGCACCAATAACTGAAACCCAATAGAAGATATAATGAAACCATAAAGGAAAAACAAATACTATTATAATCAATATGTTAATATAACAGAATTTAAATCCCCATTCATGATCATGAAAATGAATTAATAAACTATTTTCATTATCACTTTGAATAAAAAGAGACATAAGGAATAATGTGAAATGATAAAAGAAATATGCTTCCATCAATCGAGTGAGACAAACATATGCAATACAACTTGAATTAGAACAAGAGAAAATTGAAGTCATTACAGGGAGTTCAACAAGTACTTGCATTATTTTTGTTCTGCTAATAAAATCAGAAAATAAATAAGACATAACCCCATAAAAAGAAAACATTCCCAAATAAAAAATTTTTACAATAGAAATTCGTTTAAAATTAACTGTCTTTTCATTAATGAAATTAAAAACATTTAATATGACGTGAGAACTTGATGAACAAATATTTTTAATTCTTTGCATATAATATTTTTAAAATATGACTTATTAGTTCTTAGTTCATTTTGATTCTTTTCTTCTTTCAATGAAGAATATGTTCCACTTCATTAAATTAGTGATTTGTTATTACAATTTATAAAATTAAAATAATAATAAAACAATGGTATATATAACAAAAAACACATTAGTATTTTTCTTCTTTTTTACCGAAAGAAAATAATTTTCTAGAAGATTTTTGAGATGGAGTTGAAGGTTGAGAATGAGAAGCAAGATGAGGAATTGCTTTAACAGGAAAACTTAGGTGTAAGTCTTCATTTTTATCCTTTTGAGTAGGAGTAAAAGAAGCTGATCTTTTTTGTTTACTTTCTTCTATAAACTCTCCAGATAACGCTTTCTCTAACATTTGATTAGAACCAGGTTTACCAAATGACACTACTTTTCTATTTTCTTTTTTTTGATGTAAAAATTTATCATTTTCTTTCTTTAACTTTTGTTTTAGTTCTTCTTCTTTCTTTAATTTTTCAATAATTTTTTGTTCTTCTTTTTTACTTATACGTTTAGGATTTGCATTCATTACAAAACTTAAACATTCTTCAACAATTTTACCAACCACTTCTTTACCATTTTCCATACATTCAGTATAAGTTTCATTTAAATAAATGATGATTTTATCTTTCATTATTAAATTATATAAATGAGTATTATTTAATAATAATGATTTCATTAATACAGCAAAATATTTTTTTGCTTCAATATTTACGACTTGTCTTAATAAAGATGCAGTTCCATAAACAAAGGTAGACTCTGAGTATAATTTTATTAATTCTTCATGTTCATTAATAATGGCACAAAATTCTTTTAATTCTGAACAACACATCCCATCATTATAATTAGAAAGATTAAATATATTACAAATTAATACAATACTTTTAACGTCACCTAATATTTTTAAACCTTTTTTAGGACGTGCTTGATATAAAGCGCTAAAAGCACTAAACAAATGTGCAACAATTCCTTTTTTAGAACAATATTCTAATAAAAACTCTAATGCATTATGAAGGATAAAATCACTTGAACTTTGTTGTTTTGTAATTGAACCTGCAATTGTTAATATAATATTTAAACAATCTTCTTCTACCATAACAAAATTTGATTTTCCTTTATCACAATAACTTTTAAGTAATAGAAAAATATTTGGTATTGAAGATAATTCAAGACATACTTTAGGTCCTATTATTGATGATGTACAAAGAATATTTAAACATTGTATAACATTATTAATTAATCCATTTTTCATCATATTAATTAAACAACAATTTTTTAATTCTTTATCTAATGAATCACATCTTAATAAAACTTTAACAATAAAGAAAATTAATTTAGTATTAAATAATCCATAAATAATTTCTTTTTCTGTATCACTTATTAATAATTTACATAATTTACATACATTAAATAATACATCTTCTTGTATAAATTCATTTAATTTACTATTAATTGAAGTGTCCATTGTTCTTGATAATATTCCAATTAAGTCAGTTGATATAATTCTTTGACAAACAATGAATTTTATTTGAGTATCATTTCTCATAATAGAGTCAATAATTAATATAATAATTGTAATAGCTTTTAATGCTGGTGTATATTGTTTTAATGAGAATGTTTGACATATAAATTCTAGTAATCCATCAATTAATTTGTATTGAATAAATATCATTGTAGTAATATTACGTGAACAAAACTCCATTCTTGTTTTAATATCTCTTTGTGATTGAACAATTCTATTAACAATTTCTAATACTACATTCATATTTCCTTTATGTTTATCATCATATTTCATTGTCAATATTAAATAAATTAATTCTAACCCACCACTTGTTATGAACATTTGTTGTAATTCATTTTTATTTGTTTCATTATTTATAATACATTTAATAAATTTAACTATTTCATTAAGATATAAATCATTTGATTTATAATGTGTTATTCCAAATTTTACTATTGTAGCACACCCTGACATTACAATATTCATTTTACTTGTATTATCTTTGGCTAATATTGTATTAATTATTTGTAATGATGTTAATCTCAATTGTAAACATCCACTATATTCTTCTTTTTCTAAAATAGCAAATAATGGAAATAATCCAATAATATGAATACACGCTTGTAATTGTTTTAAATTTATATTTAATACTATATTATGTAATTGAAGAAGTATTTGAAATATTTTATTATTATTATCTTTACTTCCTATTTCAATCATTTTACCTATTTCTTTCATTTGTTTAATAAACTCTTCTTTTCTTTCATCATCTTCACTTTCTAATAAATCAATATCTTCTAAACAAATACTTTTATATTCATTATCAGTATTGTTTTCATTAATTTTCCCAATATTAATCCCTTCATTTGGTATTATAAAATATTCTCCCCAATCATCTTCTGTACTTTTTCTTGCTGTAAATGTTCTTACTTCTCTCATTCTTTGTTGTTTTACAATAAAACCTTCTGCCCAATCCTCATTTTCATTTTGTTGTTTTTTTGTTAAATTAACTTTTATATTGTTAGTTGAAAGTGCTTTAATAAAAGTTGGTTTTTTGCTTTCTTCTATCTTAATTCCATTTGTAATAAACCATTTATGTTTTAATAAATCTCTAGATGATGCTCGTTGATTTGGATCTCTTTTAAAACATGAAAATAAAATTTCTCTTAATTGTGGTGATACAGTATTAGGAAATGGTGGATAGTCATCATTAACTATTTTATATAATGCTGCTGTTGGATTTAAATCATAATATGGTGGATTTCCTGTTATCAATTCAATAACAGTACATCCTAATGCCCATATATCTGCTTTAACTGTAGTTCCTTGCATTTGAATAACTTCAGGTGCCATCCAATTTGGTGTTCCAATTGGGTCTTCATCACTTCCAGTTTCTTGTTTTTCATTTCCATTCATTTGAACACTAACTCCAAAGTCTGCAATTTTTACACTTCCATCTTTAGCTACAAGAATATTAGCTGCTTTAATATCTCTATGTACAATACCTTGATCATGAATAAATGCTAATCCATCTAATACTTGATGAATATACTTTGCTGATAAACTTTCATTTAAGTGATTAAATTTCTTTACAATATTTAATAATGAACCACTTTCCATATATTCCATTATAATATAAAGAAATCCATGACTTTCTGTTGATGCAATATATCTAACAATATGTTTATGTTTTAATTTTTTAAGTAATCTAATTTCTTCCATAACTTCTTTCATTACAGATTTTTTATTTACTTTCATTTGTTTAATTGCAACAAATTCTCCACTATCAGCATTCATTCCTTGAAACACCTCTCCATATGCACCTCTTCCAATTGAATTAGCAATTGAAAACATCGACCTTTCATTATCCTGTATTATATTTAATTGTTTAGTAATCATTGGATCTCCCCATCATCTTCTTGATGTTTTTTTGATTTTTTTACTTTCTTTTCTTTATGTTTTGGTGATTGTTGTTCTTCATTTTTTTCATCTATTTTACATAAAGTATTAAACTTTGGTGATTGAAGTAAATTTCGTGGACTAAGCCAAGATCTTCCAAATGATCTATTTTGAGTTTCATCAATTTTCATTGACTCTTTTCTTGGAGTTATTGGTTGTGTTATTACTTTTTGTGATTTAGGTGATGTATCTTGTTGTTTATATTGATCTTTTGTACTATTAATATCTGATTGTATTTGATTTATTTTATCTTCTGTTTTTTGAACTTCTAATTTAGGGATGTTTAAGTGTTTTTTACCAGGCTTTCTTTTATTTAACTGTTTTCTTTTGGTTGGTTCATTTTCTTTATAGTCATCATCAACTGGTTGGTCTAAATGAACATGATTAAACTCTTCATCTTTTAAAATACTTTCTTGACTAGTATCTTGTTCCTCATCTTTTTTTTGTTCTGGTAAATCTTTTTCTATAACTTCCTCTTTTTGTAGTTCTTTGTCTTCTTCAATACTTGATGGAGTTGGTATTTTTTTTAATTTCTTTTTTCCATGTTTCTTTTTCTTCTTTTTTCTTTGAAGTGGTTTACGATGAATTATTTCATTGCCTTGATAATCGTCATCTACAGGACCTTTATAGACAACTGTTTCAATATCATCAAATAAATGTTGTTCAACTTCACTCATTGATAAGAAAAAATAAAAATATTTTTTAAGTTCATTTGGAGTTTGTTTTTTTGTTCTTCTTTATTTGAACTTCATGTTCAATAAACTTTATAAGGTTCTTTTCTTTATATTTATAAATAAATAACCGAAAAAGACAAATAAAAAAACCCTATTGGAACTTATACTATCATGTCATCTTTTTCGCATTTAACTTGTCAGGAAGCTCTTTCTATTCTCCAATATTTTACTTCTCGGATTGACTATATTCATTTTATTCAAACAACAAAGAAATTTCGATTTGTATTAGAAATGTTTAACTCAAATCCTATTTCCTTATTTGAAGCTAAAGGATTATTCACAAATATTTCTACTCAAAACTTATTTACTAAAAAAGATAGAAAAATTCCTGGTATGAAAAAGTATATATTGTGGTATGACGTTAATTATACTCGTTATCTCAAAGAACTTGAACATAAAAATACTATTTGTAAACATGTTTTGTATACTAAAGAAGAAAGAATAAAGTACGGAAATAATATTCCTTCTGGGGTAAATAAAATAGGTTCCCGTTGTTATGAGTTATGTGGTGACCTTAATGAGTTAAGTCTTCCAACAACTATAACTTCTTTATCTGAAGGATGTTTTATGAGTTGTTTAAAACTGTCATCAATAATTCTTCCAACAACATTATGTTCACTCCCACATCTTTGTTTTTATGATTGTCCATTACTTCAACATGTTTTATTACCAACTACATTAACTTTAATAGGTGACAACTGTTTTCAAAAATGTCCAAATCTTATTTCTGTTCAACTACCATCTCATTTAATCTGCCTTGGAGATTCATGTTTTTATGATTGTTATAATTTAACCTCAATTGTTCTTCCTTCGTCATTAACTTCTATGGGTGATTTTTGTTTCTCAAGATGTGACAATTTGACAACTGTTCGTCTTCCATCAAAATTTCTTTTTCCTAAATACACTTTTTATGAGTCACCTAATGTTATGGCAACTTTTTAAAACATCACGTTTGTTACTTAATTCAATTATTTTGAAGAGTACTTGATTGATGCTTTTGGTACAGAAATATCTTCTTTTTTCATTTTGTGATGAGTTGAAACCATTGAGTTATCAGTTGGATTTCCTAATGGTGTAGCAGAAGAAGTGAGACTTGGGGTTTGTGGCATTGGTGTGGATTGAAGAGAAATAAATGGAGAGATTGTCCAACCAGATTCCATCATTTGAATAATATTCATTAATAATAGCCTAATTCGTTTACTTAGTTTTTTATTCTTTTCTAATTCTTTTGCTTTGTTAAAGACTTCAATAATTTCTCCATATATTGGACTTGTATTATCGCTATTCATCATCTTTTCTCCGACTTTAGAACATAATGTAATATATGCATCAATTTTCATATCATTCACATCTTTTGATAATTCTTGTAAACATGTTAATGGTAGACGTTCATTAACTAATCCTAATTCAAATAAATTTGCTATTAAATTAACTGTTCCTCGATATTCAACTTGTTCAATAGATTCTTCTTCTTTTAATTCTTCTATTTCTTGTTGACTCATTCCTTCCCGAATTACTTTTGGCTCAGGTAATTTATGGAAATAGTCATATGCTTTCTCTAATAATGCACTACTTAATATTGTTGCTCCTTGTGCCACATTTTGTGTTAGTCCTACTTGTTGTCGAAGTGTTTGAATAAATCGTACATATAATTTACAAAATTTGTTTTCATTAACACATCGTTTAACAAATTGTGTAATAAATATTTTAATGTCTTCTTCACTTCTTAAATAATATATTAATGATTTTGCTGCTTCTTCTAAATTCGTTTCTTGTGATAATTGATTTAATATTACTAACATCTTTGACAATTTCTTTTGACTCTCATCTAACATACTCGAAAATAATGTAATTGGTTTAGGTTCATTTCTACTTTTTGAAAATTCTATTCTTTCAACTGTTTCATGATAAATAAGATTAAATCGATTTCTAACATCTTCTGGTAATTTGACTGCACACTTTCTATAACTTTCCATTTCACTTAAATTATATCTTTTCCCTCCTTCATTCTTTGATTCTTTTAATGTCCTTGTAAATATATTTTTGATTTCTTCTTCTTTTCTCTTTCTTTCTTCTTCTTCTTTTCTTGCTTTTTCTTCTTCTTCTTCTTTTCTTGCTTTTTCTTCTTCTTCTTCTTTTCTTGCTTTTTCTTCTTCTTCTCTTTTAATTCTCTCCTCCTCTTCTTGTCTCTTTCTTTCTTCTTCTTCTCTTTTAATTCTCTCCTCTTCTTCTTTTCTCTTTCTTTCTTCCTCTTCTTTTCTCTTTTTCTTTTCTTCTTCTTCTTTCTTTTTACGTTGTTTTTTTGATTCTCCTTTTTTGTCTTTAACAGGTCTGATTTTTCCACTTTTGTCAACTTGTTTCCACTCATCCTCTTCAGGAGGAATTTCAATAATTTCCTGCTCTTCTATTTGTTCTTCTTCATGCTCACGTTTATAACTTCTTTTCTTATTTCTCTTTTCCTTTTTACTTTCAGGTTTCTTTTCTTCTGCTTTTTCCTTAATATCTTCTTTCACCTCTTCTTTCATTTCTTCTTTCATTTCTTCTTTTGGTTCTTCTTTTGGTTCTTCTTTCATTTCTTTTTTTGGTTCTTCTTTCACTTCTTCTTTCTGGGAGTTTCCTTCAGTTATAAGTATTTGATTTTCCATTGTTGGTTGTTCGTTTTGTGGATTATTTTTTTCTTTGATGATTTTTTTTTCATTTTGTTGAAGTTCCTCGTCAATTAAATGAGTAGAGGTGGTTTTATTTTCTTCCTTATTTTCTTTCTTTCTTCTAACAAAGCATGCATTTTCTAATATTTCTTGTTTAAATTTAAATGAACCTGAGCTTTTTTTTTCGTCTCCTTCTAAGTTTACTTTTTTGTCTATTTGTTTTGTTGCTCCAGTAGTTTTTTCGTTTTTCATAATGTTATGTTCAATAGGTTTACTTCTTTTCCATGTTTTTGATAAAGCTAATTTTTCAATTGTAATTGAATTAGCTATTGGAGATATCTCAGGGGCTATAGGTGTTGCTGTTGGGGTAACGATTGTTTCTTGTCTTTTCTGTTTAATAATATCTGGTCCTTCTTCGTTTATTGGTTTAACGGCAATTGGTTGTTCAACTCTCTTCTGCTTTTTAAATGAAGGAGCATTACAGTTTAATTGTGTCGCAGGTGTAGATTTAGTCCTCGACGGAATAATATCACTCATGAATATATATTTCACAGTTCTTCTGTCTTTCTCTTTGTTTTTTATTCACTTTTCACTTTCTTTTATTATTCTTTTCTTTGTTATTTCTTTCTGTAATTGTTTTTTTCTTTTTTATTTACTTTGTTTTTTATCCGAATTGCATAGAATTTTTCTCTTTTTTATGTTTCATTCTAAGAATTATATTTAACAGAAAAACTATGAAAAATACCAAACATTATTGGCATTCATAGACTTAGTTTTTTTTTGGTTCTTATATCTCCTCAAAAATTGATGTTATAAATTTGTTGTAATGTTTTATTAATTACATTTTTATATTATCTGTAAAAGGTATTTTTTTATTTAATTCACTTCAAATTAATTCTATTCAAATGAAAGAAATGATTCCTTTATTTAGTATTACTTCAAAAACTTAGGAAATATATAAAAGAAAATTAAAACTCATTTTATTAGTTAATACTTTTAATTTCCTAAGTAAAGTTATTTAACAAAATACTATATTATATGGATATTCAAAAACATCATTTCTGTTTATTTCTATAACCTAATGTTATTCCAAACTTCGTTTTCTAATTATATTTTATAAAATAATTTATTATCATCACTTATTAAATCCTGGTTATTTTGTTATTTTCATACTGTAATCTATTTATACTAAAACTAATTTTAAGTCAATGAATTTTGATTGTAAGAGAAACAATATCAATTCTTTAGAATATGATTTCATAAATAACTTATGAATTTCTAGACTCCAATCAATATTATTGTTTCTAAACTCAAATAAACTTCTGTATTATATTATTATTTAATAAACTAAAATATTTATTACTTTATTAATTAAAGAGTTTTTATTATAAAATTTCATGGTAATAAATTGCTCTGTATTTAAATATTAACTCCATTATTTAAATTCAATATATTGTATTTCATAATACAGGCGTTTACAATGAATTTCAATGAAAATGAGCTATAAAAATAATGTTATTTATGCTAATTAGTAATTACTATTTAGTTATTATATTCACATCATTTTAATATGTACCAATTGGTTATTTTTATTATCTATTTCAATATCATAAACTATTATTAATTTTATAATATTTTATGTAATATTAATTTATAGTATATGATAAATACTTTATTTTTGTTTATGGGTTTGTATTATTGAATTGAAACTAACTATATTTTTTGAGTTATGCTAATAACATTTCTATTATATTTTTATTCAATTTTGTTTTATTTAATTCTCTTACATAAACATAGCATATAACAAATAAAAACAAGTTGATACTAAATTTATTAAATTTATATGACTTTTTCTTTAATATGACAAGACAAATACCAAAATTATTCTTATTCATTTTTACAAAAATAACAATTCATATTGACAGAAATATTTTTATTCAGTTTGTAATATTGAAATGAGTAAAGAGACTACTGAAATTATATTAAAATAGCATCAATATATATTTTATAGTGATTTTAACAAAGTTTTACCTATTATGCTATTTGAATAAAATCGTTGTGTTATTGTAAAATTTAATTTAAATATTTTTTTCTAAATAAATATAAGAGTTGTATAATTGAATAAAAACATTAAGTAGAAGAAAATATTAACAGTCAAAATAAATTTTATCAATAATTTTATTTCTGTTAACAAAAAATACAATAATATTACAAGAAATAAATGCAAAAAATAATTAAAAAAGTTCAAATGAAAATGGTTGTTGCTTATATAATTCAATTATTTTATATTCTATAATATTCATTATCAAAATGAAATCAAAATAATAATGTGTTGTAAACTTAATGATTATTTTAGAAAAAAGTGTATTATTTGATGAAATGTTCTTATATATTAGAAAAAGAATGTTATTAAAGAATCTTTATTTATGAGACACAACTCTAAACAATATTGTACGTTTATAAATGGTGATTAATTTTAATTATCAATATTAATTTCATTTAAAAATAATATTATATATTTCATATAATATTATTCTTTATTATTAAATATAAAACTAGAATAAAATGAAAATTGCTCATTACTTAAAGGAAGAGATATGAACAACATTTGAAATAATTAATATTGATATAACTTGACAATCAACATCAAGTCATTCTTCACAAATATCACTTTGAAACTATTTTTCATGTGACACTTTTTTGATGATTCATTTATTAATTAGATAAGTATCTATTGACATCTTTATTTTCTTCATTTCATTTATAAACGATATTTTCACAGACATTTAAACGTTTATTTATGAATTAAACTCTAAAAATCAAAACAAGATGAAAACACTAATCAACATAATCAATAATACTATAGAGTCATTGATTTTGTAATAATTATTTTCTAATCCCCTCATAATTATCTCTACTTAATAATCATAAAAAACGATTTTTCACAACAAAATCTACTATCATATTATTATTTTTCTTGAGAAAAACATGAATAAATAGAGTGTATATGTTGTTATTTTGTCATTGTTAACTCATACCCACAAATTTTTAAGATATTAACATAATAATATTTCTCAAAACTAAAAAGATTAACACAAGACTTATTTCTTCTCTTCAATTCATTATATTTCACTGACATATACACTACAATACTATTAAATAATTTTAAATAACTATGTATACTAAAACTAATTTTTGTTGTTTTTATATAAATACCAATATCTTTACTCTTATAAACCACACAGATTTTAAATAAATTCTCTTTTATATTTTTAAGTAATAAAAGAATAATTAGCATAGTATTTGAGCAAAATTTTCTTTATACCTCTTCTTCTAGTATTGACTAAATTATTATCCAATTATTATTTCTTTGGCAAACACTGTTCTAAATTAATTTTCAATGTTAGGTTTTGTTTAATTATTTTTGTTATATAACTTCTAATATACTGCTCGGTTTTAACCAATTTTTGCAATACAAAAAACGATAAATAACCGAAGAATAATCTTTTTAGAAAATTAAATTATTACTACTTTATTATTCATTCCAAGGAGCTTTTTTAAATATTATTTACAACTTGTTTTCATTTATTTATTAACTAATCTGTGAAACATAATTAAGTTTTGAGTCAAAGCTGATAGCTTATCTTCCTTTTGCTTCCATTTGTTTTAAAAGAGTTATAATTATATCAGCTCTGAAGTTTATATTATGTTCACGCCTTCCATAATGATTAAACCTAAATGTTGTTTCTTCTAAGTTATAATTCCATCTTTAAATTGTTTGATGTGTACTTTGTTTTCATATGTTATTTCCAAGACAGTTATTCCTTTATTTCTTTTTATTAAAGCGGTTAATTCAACTAAAATATATAGCTAAAACCTTTAGTTTTTTATACTTGTTTTATTTGTTGGAAAGTATCATATTAAGTTATCATTGTTTTGTGTTAATGAAGTTAAGCTCTATTTGTCTAAGTGCATATTTTTGTGTTAGATTTTATTAAAAATACACATTGGTGCTTATTTTCAAGTTATTAAATATCAGAAACAAAGATGTATTTCAAAAAAGATGTTTATAGCTGTTTAGAATCATACCCATTATTTCTGGTTCAGTGATATAAATAGACAATATCAATTCATTGATATAATTCATTACTTGTTATGTTAGTAGGTTGGTTATTATCTTATCCACTTTCATAATAGATAACTATACAATAAATAACTTATTATTTGTATGTAATACTGATTGTATTATTATTGATGGTTGTATTGTATTTAAACCATAAAAGGAGGTTCACATCAAATGTATTATGAAATAGGACAAACTATATAAGCTTTATTATTTGAAACTATAGACAATGAGTTGTTGAATTAATGAAGATATGTCACTAATCTAGTAGAAGTTCAATGATAAGTTTGATGAAGGTATGTCTTTTGATTGATATTCACAAGAGTTGTTAATCTGAATTAAATAATTCTTGTTCACGAATAGTTGTTAATTAACATTTATTATTCAAAACAACTTAATAAGATGAAGGAAATATCAACAGATAAATAAATTTTCTAATACATAGAAGAAAGAAATGATATAAAAGAAAAGAAAGAAATAAGAATTATTCATGACACATGTTATGACATAAGAACTTAGGTTTATTGAGGTAATTAATTAAAGAAAAGATGTTTAATAAACTATAAACTCACCAATAAGTTCTT